AAGGCGTGGCCTTTCTCATGAGTTTTATTGGGGACTAGATACTATAACAACAACCCTTGTGTTGTTATTGTAACAACACTAATCTCCAACCAATAGGAAGTTAGGATTGTGATGACTTTTTATTAGATGAGTTGACCTAGTGTAAAATCAAAGCAGAGGTATAATTGTCATTATGAAAAATATGTTTAAATAATAATATAAAATAAAATAAAAATATTTTTTTATTTTCGGCCCAAAATTTTGGTCGCCGGAATATGGTCGACGGTCACCGGAATATGCTATTTTGTCGGCGGAATATGCTCACCGGCGCCGGAATATGCTCACCGGCGTCGGAATCTAGTCATCGGGGCCGGAATCTGCTCACTGACGGTAATCGGAGTTCGGTCAACGGTCAACGACCGCCGGATGTTATGGTATGCATTGTCAGATTTATGGTTTGGTTTCTCGTATTTATGTATGTCTTTTGTGGTTTACTTTATCGTGTTTGTGGTTTGCATTAAGAAGTTTCTGGGTTGCTTTATCGTGTTTGTGGTTTGCATTGAGAAGTTTCTTGTTTGCTTTCAAAAAATTTGTGGTTTGCTTTACGGGGTTTGTGGTTTGTTTTAGGAGATTTGTGGTATGCATTAGGAGGTTTCTGGTTTGTTTTTGTGGTTTGCTTTATCGTGTTTGTGGTTAGCATTATGAGGTTTCTGGTGTGTTTTTTAAAATTCTGTGGTTTGCTTTGCGTGGTTTCTGGTTTGTTTTAGTAGATTTTTGGTCCGCATTAGGACGTTTCTGGTTTGTTTTTTTGGTTTGCTTTAACGTGTTTGTGGTTTGCATTTTGAGGTTTCTGGTGTGCTTTCAAAATATTTGTGGTTTGGTTTGTGCTGTTTCTGGTTTGTTTTAGAGAATTTGTGGTATGCATTAGGGGGTTTCTGGTTTGCTTTTTTGTGGTTTTTTTATCACGTTTGTGGTCTGCATTAGGAGGTTTCTGATGTGTTTATTAAAGACTAGTGATCTGCATACCGATAACTCCTAAATGCATATCATAAACACAATAATAAACTAAAATACATAAAAAAAAATGCGATTGATATACTGAGCTCTACAATTGGTCAAAACTTGGACCCATCCGGTATCCAAAACCCCATAAACACGAGGTAAGCAATGGAGTATACGGTATACAGAGAAGGCATTGTCTTAGAGAGAAAGTGCTCAAACAAACTGAGTGAAGGAAATAAATTGAAGAGAGGTGCAGTAGAGTCTCCCAATTGAACAGTAAAAAAGCCTAACCACAGAATAACATGAACAACAATGATGCGTTGGATTGTTGTGTTGTGACCTGCAACAGAGACTCTTCGGAGAGGAGGAAGAAGCCGAAACCTGAAGGGTCCGGATTGGGAGAGTTGATGGAGGAAGAGACGGGGACGCCGGAGACTGAGATCGTGACGTGGCCGGTGTGAGTGAATCCGAACTTCTCGAAGAGAATCATCGGCCTGGGGTCGTTGGCAATCCTTAGGGTTTTGATCTCGGCGGAGACGGTGGCGATGAGAGATACGACGGCGACGAGAGCCGCGGCCAGGGCGAGGAGGGACGGACGAATTGCCGGTAGGGGTGGGCATTGGTGCGGTTTGGACCGCACCGCACCGTATTGATATAAATCACACCGCACCGCATCTTAATTGGATCGCACCGCATGTTCGACCGCAATATTATTGGTGCGGTCAAACCAAACTGCATAAATTAGCGGTTTGGTGCGATATAGACCGCACCGCATAATTGACCGCAATTCATTATGGTTCATATATAATTAAATAACATTCCTACTGCCTAACAGTACATCGACTCGATTTCTTTGCCACCAAAACATAGCAACCAGGCTGCTGATGACTACTGCCAAAAGGAATTATAATGGCAACAAAATGCCATCCATTATAGACACTTTAGTTTTGTGAGTACTTGTACTGGCAATTGGCAAGTAAAATCATTAACCATTACAGAAACCATAAATGTCCCAACTAGATAACGGTATTATAATTACGAACAACTGTGAGAGGGATTCGGAGGTTGGGAAGGCGGTGAAAATCGAAAACATATTATGAGAGGGATCGCCAAGAGGGAACGTGAAGCTGGGGAAGGCGGCGAGAACAGACAGCTAGAGGAATGGGAAAGTTGGGGAACAGCGGTGGAAATCGGTTGCGCCATTATTGGACGACGACTTTGAGTGACATTTTAGCGGTTTGCGGTTTTGAACCACAACCGCGCGGTTTCGGTCGCTCCAAACCGCAAACCATTAACCGCTTAATAGTTGGACCGCAAGTGAGACCGCAAGCTTTACGGTGCGGTTTGGATTGACCGCAAAAGCGGTTCGGAGCGGTTCGGAGTGGTTTGTCCACACCAATGCCCACCCCTAATTGCCGGCAACAACTTCGACTTCAGTGACAGGTTGGATCTACAAGTCGGTGGCGACGACTCTCACCCGCCCATCATCTTCGTGTTGATGAATCAGTAGAACCTCAATAATTCCTTCATCGACGACGGCCGGCGGGGAAGAAGCAGGGACGGCGGGGAAAAAGCGGGGCGGCGTGGAAGACATGCATGTTTCGATGGGGTGAAGGAAGATGAGGTCTGATGTGGGATTAGGGTGGGTTTGAATTTTAATTTATTTTATTATTTTCAATATAAATTTACCCTTTTGCGCTTAATGAATCCTATTGTTATTATAACAACAAAAGGAGTGTTGTTATACTATCCGGACCCGTTTTATTGAACCTTGAGTGAGTGCACCACTAGTTTTTTATTAAGGGAGATCGACCGTCAGGGTTGCCGACGGAGCTGTCGAGATCTTGCGGCGGCAACATATTTGTTTTGTTTTCCAACTAGGTGGAGGCGACGACTACTTTTTCCTTTTAATTATAATTTTTTATTTATGGGAAATATTTAATGGATTATTTAATAATAATATCATATGTGGCGCATACATGTCCGCCACATAAGCTCCACATAATCAATAGTCAAACATAGGTTGACCACCATAGGTCAACCGTCAATTCTAACAGTCAACAGAAATACGCGTAACACAAATGACGCGAACCCCTAATACGTTGGAATGTTTTTGTGTTTATTGAAAGTACGTAATATAAATGGCACTTTCACTAAAGGATGGTATTTCCAGTGGTATTAGCCCTAAAATCAAAGGTATAGTATACCTTGAGTAAGAATATGATATTTACACATTGAATTGGCAAGATTTTGGGGCATGATACTCTATCCTAATCTTTAATGAGGGAGGGCTAGGTCTTAGTTATCTAAATTGTAGACCTTAAACCCCCAAATTTGTGCATGTAATTTGTTGCATATATTTCGATGAATCATGACCATCGATAGTTGTTTCCAATTAAATTGATTTTAGTGTATGAAATTTATAGAATTAAGATGCATATTTTAATATGTAAGGATAAGAAAAAGTATGATGTTACAAACTCTGTTCAGTTCAAGGAGACAAGGTGTAGATGTCATTTTTTTTTACTCAACGTATACTATGTAGGGAATTGATGACTTTATTATTATTGAATAGGAAGGTGGGTTTTATTATTTTATACCCAGAATTACAACAGAACTAGCTTAACCCTAGCAGCACGTTACAGAGGAGAGGGAGTAGTGCTGTAGTGGTGCGGCTGAATAGTAAGAGGTAATTAACAGAAATAGAATAATTAAAAACAATAATTATCTATCCTTATCACGCCCCCGCAAGATGGTGGCGGGTACGACACCAATCTTGGCACGAAGTAGATGAAAGCGGGTGATCGACAGAGGCTTGGTGAGGGAGTCAGCCAGCTGGTGCGCAGTAGGAATGTGATGAACATGAAGAGCACTGGTGTGAACAAGCTCGCGGACAAAATGGAAATCAAGGGCCAAATGCTTCATTCGTGAGTGGAAAACCGGGTTGGTGGAGAAGTGAACAGCACCAAGATTGTCGCTGTAGAGAGCCGGGGATCGCGGCAATGGTTGATGAAGCTCGGTAAGCAGGTTTTGTATCCAGAGTATCTCGGCGGTGGCATGGGCCACCGCTCGGTATTCAGCTTCAGTGCTAGAACGAGCAACCGAACGCTACTTCTTCGACTTCCAGGAAATGAGATTGCCACCATAATAGATAAGATAGCTCATAGTAGAGGTACGATCATCCGGGTCGCCCGCCCAATCAGAGTCAGCAAAGGCAACTAGTGATGGTGAGAGAGCAGGAGATAAGTGAAGACCATATGATGCAGTACCTTTGAGGTAACGGAGGAGACGCTTAACGGATTGCCAATGCAGCTGAGTCGGAGCATGCATGAACTGGGATAATTTGTTGACAGCAAATGCAATATCTGGGCGGGTGCAGAGGAGATATTGGAGAGATCCGAGCACCTGTTTGAAGAGAGAAGGATCGGCTGGAGGTGAGCCATCATGGAGGGTAAGACGAGCCGTCGAACATAGTGGCGTTGGAGCAGGCTGGCTGTCGTTCATGCCAAAGCGATCGAGGATGTCGACTACAAATTTGTGCTAGGAGAGGATCATGCCAGCTGAGGACGGAAGCACTTCAATTCCGAGGAAGTAGTGTACTGGGCCGAGGTGCTTAAGGGAGAATCGCGCGACCAGGCGAGATTGAAATTCGTGGAGAAGAGATGAGTCGTTGCCGGTGAGTAGAAGGTCGTCTACGTACACCAAAAAATATAGGAGAGAGCCATTATGGTGGTAGACAAACAAGGAAGCGTCACTAGTTGTCTTGGTGAAGCCCTCGTGTTCAAGGAAAGTGCATAGCTCCATATACCAGGATCGAGGAGCTTGGCGAAGGCCATAGATAGGGCGAGAGAGACAACATACATAATCCGGATGAGCTGGATCCTGAAACCCGGGAGGCTGAGCCATGTAAATAGTTTCATGTAAAGAGCCTTGAAGAAAAGCGTTATTCACATCAAACTGATAAATAGGCCAGCGATGAGTCAAAGCAATAGTAAACACAGTCCGAATCGTGACAGGCTTCAGAACAGGGCTGTATGTTTCATGGTAATCAATCCCGGGTCGTTGAGTAAAGCCTTTGGCCACGAGGCGGGCTTTGAACCGATCGACCGACCCGTCCGTGTTGTGTTTGATGCGAAAACCCCACCGACAGCCGACAACGTGCTGGTCGGGAGGACAAAGAACCAATGTCCAGGAGTTATTGCGAAGCAAGGCATTGAACTCATCAAGCATAGCAGATTTCCAACGGGGATCAGCAAGTGCCCGCCTAATAGAAGTAGGTTCAATGTCAACATATGATACCTGAGCCGAGAAGAGTTTCTTCGGCTTAAAAATGCCATGCTGGCTGCGGGTGGCCGTAGTATGAGATCGAGGAGGCAGAACTTTGGCCGGTGGCGGTGGAGGTCGATTGTGTTGAGAGGACGTAGCCGCTGGGGAAGAGGGGACGCTGGCGAGCTGGAATGGCGACGGGCGGGAGAGTGACCACGGAACGTGGTATCAAGGTAGACCGGGGAAGCCACCTGCCGGGACCGACGAGGACTGCCACGACCACGAGCAGCGGGAAAAGAGTGTCCACGAGTAGATGAGAAGGCCGTGGTAGGAGCCAGCGCAGAAGAGGACCGATGGGCTTCGAAATCAGCCTCATAATCAACCAAGCGATCATGAAGATCTTCAAGGGAAATGGTGGTGTCGCGAGCACGGAGAGCAGCAGCGAGAGGACCATACTCCTCGCGAAGACCTCGAAGAATATGAAGAATCAGGTCCTCGTGCGACACCGGAGCCTGAACAAGAGCCAATTCAGCGGCCACGGATCGCATAGCTTGGAGATATACAGCAACAGGGCGAGAACCTTGAGTCTCTCGGCCGAGTTTTGTTTTAAGATTCATAACGCGTTGCCGCGACTGAGAAGCGAACATGCGTTCCAAGATAAGCCACGCATCACGGGAGGAGGTGGCGGAGGTGACATAGGGAGCAACGCTGGGGGAGACAGAGGCCAGTATAGAATGGAGAAGAAGTTGATCTTGACGGAACCAATGAGTATGTGTGGTTTCCGAAGCATCTGAGGCAGGTTGGGGAAGAGAACCATCAAGATATTTGAGCAGGTCGAGCCCCCGGAGAAGAGTCACGAGTTGAGCTCGCCAGGTAGGGAAGTTTTCGCCGGTGAGTTTGTTTGGCAGTTGCGTAGCAGGATTAAGAGTGACAATGGTATTGGAATTGTCAAGATTGATAACGGATTCACCAGACATGATGATGATCGGAGAAGAAGGGAGTTTAGCGAGAAAAGATGGGATTAAGGAGATCGGAGCGCAGCTCTGATACCATGTAGGGAATTGATGACTTTATTATTATTGAATAAGAAGGTGGGTTTTATACCCAGAATTACAACAGAACTAGCTTAACCCTAGCAGCACGTTACAGAGGAGAGGGAGTAGTGTTGTAGTTGTGCGGCTGAATAGTAGGAGGTAATTAACAGAAATAGAATAATTAAAAACAATAATTATCTATCCTTATCATACTATACCTTTGTTTTTACTCAAAGTACGATAGAACCGCCCACATATACAGTGGCGGAGCCACTTGGAGCCAAGGGAGGTCCTTTGCACCACCTTGGCTTCAAAATGTATTAGTAACCCACAAAACATAGAAATAAACTTTTGACGTAATTGTGGATTGGACACAAGATCTTCCTATTATTGTAAATAATTGGATAAGTGCTAAAAAAATAGTCAAATTGTGGAAAAAATAGTAAAATCTTTATGAAATACCATAAAATAGTCACACCTTCTGTGATATTAGACAAATATAGCCATTCGTTAATTTTGCCGTTAAATATGCTGAGGTGGCTAACGACATGGAAATCTTATGATGGTTGGAGATTAGTCATGGGAGCCTTTTGTGATTTGTCAATTTCTCTGTTATTCCTTTTATATATGTTTTATTTGGGTTTCATCGGAGAAAAGTGGAGCCATGGGGCTACGAACAGTGAGGGGAGAGGGAGGGGAGAAGGTATCGGTGGAGGAGGAGGAAGAAAGCGGTTGCAGTGGGTTGGGAAGAAGGGGTTTCTTTTATTATTTAATAATTATAAATTTTAATTAATAATATTCTTTTATTAATTTTGATGACGTGTCTTACATATAGAATACATGAGTGTCAAGCGGTTAGCCACCTAAGCATATTTAACAGTAAAACTAACCGATTATTATATTTGTCTAACACCGTATAAGGTTTGGCTATTTTAACAGAAAAACTAACCGATTGTTATATTTAACAGTAAAACTAACCGATTGTTATATTTGTGATTTGTCTAACAACGTGACACATGAGAATCATATGAGTGATGATACCATAAATCGAATCGATTTCTCCCTCATTTCTCTTCAATCCAACTTTCCAACATTGTATCAGAGAAAGAAATTATGTATTTTTTATCTATTTTCTTCATTTCCTTCGAGTTTCTAATAAGTGTGAATCGCCTATCCGCCTTGATTCGATTCCTTCTTGTCATGTTTCGTTATTTTTTATTTTTTTCAATTTGTATGAATTTTTCAACGATCGTGTGTTTCCATGCTCTAGTCTGTCGGTGCTTTTTTTTATTGAGCCTCTCCTTTCTGTTGGTAGTCTCATTCTTTGTGAATCGTTTGAATCTGTTGATGATTGCGATCCCAAATTCAAATTTCGAATGGTACTTCTGAAACTCTAATTGTGTAGGATTTTCTTGTTTAACTTGTATACTAATTAGGTTTCTAGGAATGTCATATATTGTGAATCGTTCGAATATATTGATGATTGCGATCCCAAATTCAAAATTCGAATGGTACTTATGAAACCCTAAATGTGTAGGATTTACTTGTTTAACTTGTATACTAATTAGGTTTATAGGAATGACATATATTGTGAATCGTTCAAATATGTTGATGATTGCAATCCCAAATTTAAAATCCGAATGGTTCTTACGCAACCTTAATTGTGTAGGATTTACTTATTTGACTTGTGTACTATTTAGGACTCTAGGAATGACATATATTGTGGATGAAGAAAGTAATTTTCTTTCAATTAATTGCACCTAAACGGGTCTCCCCCAAATTGCTTTTCGATCAAGGTTTCCCACAAAATGGGATGGGCCATAATATTCGGACCCAGTTATTGGGGAACAGGCCCATATGCCTTCATGGACAAATAGAAGTCCCAATATATAAAATATTGCAAACAACAAAGTAATAACACTTGGCAAAAAAGAAAAAAAAAACAAAGCAATCAGTAATCAGACCGTTTCTTCTAGGTCAATCAAACTGCCACCTAGGGTTCCAATAGAAAAAACAAAGTGACAGCCAAGAATATGAGCAGCAAAGCAATCAAAAGAGCAAAGAAAATGTGCAAAGCCATTTTCTAGATGAGACTACAGGATGTTGATGGGAATGAAGGAGGCAAATAGGCGAGAGAAGGACTTCGGCTAAAGACAATTTTCTTATAAATTCCATAAACGGCACTAACATCAAACATACATATTTTATAGGGTAGAAACCCTAATACCCGATTAGGCCACTCGGCCCCTACCCCTAATCCGCCACCCTTAAGAAGCCTAACTTCTCGTGGATTACGTATTAGGCCCTAACCGACACTAAATACTAACACAACAAGCCAAAATCCATAACATAATAATAATAATCCGATACTAACAGCCCAGCCCACTACTACGAGTTGCTACCAAATACAGTCATCCACTAAACATTCCGGTATGGTGATGGTGTATCCACCTGTTGCTCATCCTCCTGTTGCGGCTGCCACTGCTGCTGTTCCTCCGCCAGCTGCCAAATTCGCTGCTGCACCAGCTGCCGCGCCTCCCACGAATGCTGCCTCGCCAGATGCAACTGCTGCCGCTCCCGGCGTTCCTGCTCCAGCTCTTGCCGCACCTTCTGCAGCTCCTCATGCGATTGCATCGCATGCTGCGCCAGCTGATACTGTGACTGCAGCTCATCATTCAGCTCCTGCCGCTCCCGCCTTAGCTGCTCCAGCTCCTGCCCCACCTTTTGCAGCTCCTCCTGCGATTGCGTCGCACGCTGCGCCAGCTGATCCTGTGACTGTTGCCGCTCCCGCCGTGCCTGCTGCAGATCCTGCTCCAGCCCCGCCATCTGCTGCCTAGTTTGCTGCAACTCTTGCTGCGCCAGCCGAAGCGCCTGCAGCTGCTGGGGTGCTACTGGTGGAGCACGACGAGACGGCTGTGCAGCACCGCAACATGCTTTGATATAGCGGTCCTTCGCCTCTTCTTCTAACTGCGCATCGGGGGCGATTTCCCGCAAGAAGCATCTGAAAAGATGAAGGCAGGCAAGCAAGGCTGTGCCAAGAGCAGCAATCACGTAATCTTGGGCTTTAAGGTGGGGCTTCGACCAGGCCGCATATGCGGCAGTACTAACAAAATAGAAGAGATGAATAGATAAATGTTAATATATATGACTAAAAAAACATAATAGAGAGAGAGAGAGGAAGATTACCTCATCCAGGCAGTGGTTATATCGAAGACGACTAGGAATTGCATGTATTCTGATATGCAATACGAATACAGAGAGTACAAGAGTAACTCCAATGGAGTCAACTTCAGTCTACCCGCCAGCCATCCTATCAAGCCCGAACAAAGCATGCCGAAAATTTGGATTGCAGCCTTACCACCCCAGTGGAGGGCAAAGTCGAAAAAACGATGGCCCCACCAGCGACCACAGCATAAGACGAACGCAAAACAAAAAATGTTGTGGACCAGGAGACCTAAAGGCATAAACTTGACTTTCGGCATATGCTCTTTGTTCTCGCTTAAGAAAATAGGAGTTAAACCAACCCCAAGTCCAAAGAGAAATGCCAACAAACCCCATATTATATAATGCCTGGACACAAAGAGGAGATTTTGTTAGTTAGTTTATCTGAGTAAAAAAAATGAAGAAGAAGAAACGAGTAAATAAAGAAGTGGACACACCTGTATAAGAACCTTCTCAGACAAACCAAAAAATTCACCATTGGAGCAATAGACCAGTTAGCCATCTCTTCTTTTTCTCTCTTGGAACCAGTTGCAACTTTCTCCTTAAAGAGAAGGTTGGATTTATATACGAGGATGGTGAGGAAGAAGAGAGCATTGGATTATTGATGGAGTATCTCATTCCGGCAAGTCTGATGCTTGAGTTTTGAATCAACAATGAAGGAAGTTCTTCTTTTGTGAAATTTTTTCAAGGAGTCAGAAATCAGAATGGGGAGCAGATGTGTTGTGGGCTGTGGAGACTTTTGTTTTCTTTGTTATGGCAAGTTTGAAATCTGAATTGGGGAAAGGAGCAGAATGGTTGTTAAGAAAAGGGAAAGA